TGATATATAATGTAGATCATCTTTTCATGATTATTTGCTATCTTTGGTGAAGTGTCTGTTAAGGTCTTGGCCTATTTTTTAATTGGGTTGTTTGTTTTATATTGTTGGGTTTTAAGAGTTCTTTATGTATTTTGGGTAATAGTCCTTTATCAGATGTGTGTTTTGCAGATATTTTCTCCCGGCCTGTGGTTTGTCTTCTAATTCTCTTCATATTATCTTTCACATAGCAGAAGTTTTTAATTTTAATGTAGTTCAATTTATCAATTATTTCTTTCACAGATCGTGTCTTTGGTATTGCATCTAAAAAGGCATCAGTATACTCAAGGTCATCTAGGTTTTCTCCTATGTTATGTTTTAGGAGTTTTATAGTTTGTGTTTTACGTTTAGGTCTATGATCCATTTTGAGTTAATTTCTGTGATGGGTGTAAGGTGTGTGTCTGGATTCTTTTTTTTTTGCATGTGGATGTCCAATTGTTCCAGCGCCATCTGTTGAAGAAACTATCCTTGCTCCATTGTATTGCCTTTGCTCCTTTGTCTAAGATAGTTGAGTATATTTATGGGGATCTATTTCTGGGCTTTCTCTTCTGTTCCATTGATCTATTTGTCTATTCTTTCTCCAGTACCACACTGTTTGATTATTTTAGCTTTGTAGTAAGTCTTGAAGTTGGGTAGCGTCCGTCCAATTCCTGGCTCAGTATTGTGTTTGGCTATCCTCGGTCTTTGCCTCTCCTTATAAACTTTAGAATCAGTTTGTCTCTGTCCATAAAATAACTTGCTGGGATTTTGATTGGGATTGCATTAAATCTATAGCTCAGTTTGGGAAGAACTGACATCTTGACAATATTCAGTCTTCCACAAACATACACTATCTTGCTATTTATTTAGTTCTTCTTTGATTTCATTCATCAGAGTTTTGTAGTTTTCCTCATATAGATCTTTTGTGTAATCTTTGTTAGGGTTTATACCTAAGTGTTTAATTTTTTGGGGTGCTAATATATTATGTTTTTCATTTCAAATTCCACTTTATCATTGTTGGTATATGGAAAAGCAATTGACCTTCGTATATTAACCATGTGTCCTGTAACCTTGCTAGAATTGCTTATTAATTTGAGGTTACATTTTTGTTTTTTAAAGATGTTTTAACTGAGTATAGAATTATATATTGACAGTGTCATTTTGTTTTATTCAGTGATATAAAGATATTGCTCCAGTGTCCTCTCATTTCATTGTTTCTGAGGAGAAATGTGTTGTTACCCTTATCTTTATTCCTGTGTACATAATTTTCTTCTTATCACTGGTTGAGCAATTTGATTATTATGGACCTTGGTGTTGTTTCTTATGTTGGGGATTTGTTGAGCTTCTTTGGTTTGTGGGTTTATAGTTTTCATCAAATTTGGAAAATTTTGGCCGTTACTCCTTCAAATATCTGCCCCCTTCCCCTACCTGACCCTTAGGGACTCTCTTTACTTACGTATTAGACTACTTGAAGTTTTACAGCTCACTTTGCTCTTTTCACTTCACTTTTTTCTTTTAGTTTTTGTTGCTATGTCTTGCAGTTTACTAATCTTTTATTTTCCTATGTGTATTCTGCTCTTAATCCCATCAAGCATATTTTATCTCGGACGTTGTCTTTTTCATTTCTATATGTTTGAGTCCTTTTATATCTTCTAGGTCTCTACTTAACTTTTTGAACATATGGAATACAGTTACAGTAACTGTTTTAGCACCCTGGTCAGCTAATTCTAACATCTGTGTTAGTTCCAGGTTAGTTTTATTTATTCACCTCATAATGATTATTTTACTCAGTATGTGTTGTATTTTCCTCCTTCTTTGTATGGTTGGTAATTTTTTATTAGACGCCAACTGTTGTCAATATTATCTTGTTGGGTCTTGGTGTTTTTCAATTCTGTCAATATTCTTGAGCTTTTTTCTGGGATGCAGTTATTTGGAAACAATTTGATCCTTTAGTTCTCGTGGGTTTGGAGCAGTGCTCAGTCTGAGGCTAATCATTTCCCATTACTGAGCAGTGACCTTCCTGGGTTTTCTACCTCATGCTCTGTGAAGGAAGAGTTTCCACAGCCGGGCTGGTGGGATCAGGTACTATTTCTGGCCCTCTGTGAGTGCTGTGAGGCGCTGTTCTCCGATCTCTTTGGAGCACTTTTTCCTCTGGTCCTGGGTAGTTTCCTTACTTGTATGTGCTTTTCAGTACTCTGCCGACTACTGGAGGGGGACCTTTACCGTTCTCCGGGCTCTCTCTGTGCTACTGTCTCCCCTTCAGTGCTTTCTCTTGTGAGTTCTAGACCTTGGTTTCCCACACCTCTAACCCCGTCTCCTCAACTCACAGTATTTGCCGAGTTCCGCCTGGATTCTCTTCCCTGCGCTGCAGCCTGGAGCAGTAAGCTAGGGGCAGTCGTAGCACTCACGTCCTTTGTTTGCTTTCTCTTAGGGGTCACTGTTCTTTGTTACCTCATGTCCAGTGTTTGGAAAACTTTAGCTTGCTAAGATTTTTCTGTTTTTTGTCCTTTTCAGGTGGGAGAGTAAATTTAGTCCCTTTTACTTCAACTTGGGTAGAGTTGGACATCCCTGCTCTACTTTGTATTTTTTCCATTACATTTCTCTTCTAATTGTTCTGTATTAATTTAACTATGTTTCTTGTTAATTTCATTTCTCTTCTCTGACTCTATAATACAAGCTCAACAATTTAGGATTTGTTTTGTTTAGTGATGTATCCGAAGCATAGTACATAGTAGTCAGTAAATATTTGTTGTTTCCATATTGAATGAGGACACAGAAGTAAGATAAAGTTCTTATTGCCATCGAGCTTCATGGCGTATAGATGGAGTAGAGAGACTGTTTTATTTTATTAAAAAAAATATTTGGTTAAGTATGGAGTAAATCTATAGACCTTTCTCAATAGATTTTTCTTAGCAGTTAATGGTGTTAACAAACACATAGAATTTTAAAAGGGGAAGCTGCTGAATTTATATGATCATAGATACCATTTATTAAGTACATACTGTATGCCAAGAGTCATTTCTTACTGAATTAGCATACTATAGTATGCACATTTTCTAGCAAGGGTAAATGACAAGTCTCAAGCTCACCTTCTTAACCATTACATTGGGGCTGGCCTGGTGGTGCAGCGGTTAAGTGCGCACGTTCCACTTCAGTGGCCCAGGGTTTGCTGGTTTGGATCCTGGGTGCGTACATAGCACCGCTTGTCAAGCCATGTTGTGGTAGGCGTCCCACATATAAAGTAGAGGAAGATGGGACGGATGTTAGCTCAGGGCCAGTCTTCCTCAGCAAAAAGAGGAGGATTGTCAGCAGATGTTACCTCAGGGCTGATATTCCTCAAAAAAAAAAAGAAACCATTACATTTACCTCACTTACCTAGTAGGAAGTGAGTCAGATTTTCACAAAGAGGTAGATTTATATTGGTTTGCTAGGTAGAGCTCCCTGAGCATAGGGACTGTTTTTTTTTTTGTGTGTGTGTCCTTATTTTCATTGCTTTACATAATTTTAGGCTCATAGGAGCTACTAGTAATTGGAGAAGGTAATGAAGTAACCTAGCAGACATAAGAGGCAAATTAATTGTATATCTCATATTGGATATACTTATAGAAATAGTTTAAACGTGTATTTAATGGTTTGATTCTATATAGGTAATGTGGAGATTTCGTCATGAGAATATCTGAAAACTCCCTGTTCAGTGCCTAGCACATTTAAGTTCTCCATGAATAGCTTTTCTTTTTCTTCTCCTAATTTTAGAATAATTAAGTAACAGTAGCCTTTTGAGAGTAAATAATATGAATATAGATTGTTTGGGAGTTAAGGAAGAAATATAAAATAGTGTTCTGATAATCTTCATTTTAACCTGTTCAGTCATGTGTGTAAGCTACTTATTTTGAGGTGGCTATTAACCTTTTAAAATTAAATAAATGTATTGAATATTTAGAAAAAAACATATTATGTAACAATTGATGTATTTTTAAATCTTGTTTTCCTAGCAACAAAATTAGAAAAGAGAAATAGTTTGCATTGCTTGTATGTGAAAGCTAACAAATTATGTTTAACCTAATAGGCTCTCAAATTTTGGATTACAGCTTTTACACCATACTTAGATACGTGCATACAAACATAGCTACATATTCTACATCTTTGTCTGGCTTACTTGAAAAATAGAAGCAATTGCTTAACTGGATGACTATCAAGATGGTCAACACAGATTGATGGGCTTGAGTGCTGTAGACAGTGGGTATGCAGATGGTTGTGTGTGTACCGTTTGACATGAGATGGCTGAATCTTTAAAATGATTTCAGTGGGATGGCTTTGGTGTTGTTGTAGTAAAGGGCATCCATTCAACCTCAGGTGCTGTGCAGATGGTAAAGCCAAGCTAATATAGAAAAATGAGAAACAAGTGACTATTTAATGTACAGGAATGCATGATCTGTGTAACAAATAAATGACGGTATTGCATGCAGGAAACCTAGCCAGATGGCTGTACATTAAAACACATGACTCCTTGAGAGAATTAAGTACAGGCAATTTGCTTGGATTTTCTCCAGGCCTGCTGCATATTATATTAGGGTAGAGAGAACAAGAGATTAAGTGCTTTATTTATTGAAAGTGTTTAGGTGAAGTTGGCAGTTATTTAAGCATAATCTGATCTCCATAAGTATTTAAATTGTCTATTTGTGGGGAAAAAAAAGTAGGGAGGGTAGTTCGCTTTTAAAATAAAAGGATGTAAGGAGTAAGGTTGGCTAGTGAACCTCTGGAAAATAAACTGTCTTTTGGCCCATACTTTTCAGTTTTACAAGATTTTCCACTAGGCAAAAGCTTAAAAATATTTTTGGATAAAAGTATTTCTTTTTCTATGTGGCTTTTAATAGTCCAAATTCCAGTGACATATGGAAATTTTGAAGTGGGAAGAGTTAATGTGTTGAATGCTGTGTGAAATGGGACCATTTTCACTAGTAAAATACCACATTTTTGTTTTTCAGCTTAAAGAAAGTGGTTATTGTACAGGTCATGAACCGGATTCCCTGGAATTCAGCACTGTGGGAGGATGGGTATCTACTCGGGCATCAGGCATGAAGAAGAATATCTATGGCAATATTGAGGACCTGGTAAATTTTTTTCTAGTTATTATATAATAATTCATTAGTATATTAAGATTATTATAAAGTGATTAAAGCCTTTAAAAATTGAGTTGGATGGTAGAGTCCCCCAAAAGTATACCTCTTTTTGATTATAGTCGTGTTGGCTATGTATAATAGAAGCAGTTAAAGGACAGCTGTGGTCATTACTTAAGGATGCTCCTTTTCAAGTGACTGATTTTTAAGCTTGGTAGATATTTCATAGTATCTAACTTATAGAATATATACATATTATTTTATATGCCTCGTGGCACCTTGGTCTTCAACTCTTTCAAGATTTTAGTCCATTTATTTAGGTGATTTTCTCATTGCCATTCTTTTTTTTTTTTTTTTTTTTTTTTTTTAAAGATTTTATTTTTTCCTTTTTCTCCCCAACGCCCCCCGGTACATAGTTGTGTATTCTTCGTTGTGGGTTCTTCTAGTTGTGGCATGTGGGACGCTGCCTCAGCGTGGTCTGATGAGCAGTGCCATGTCCGCGCCCAGGATTCGAACTAACGAAACACTGGGCCGCCAGCAGCGGAGCGCGCGAACTTAACCACTCGGCCACGGGGCCAGCCCCTCATTGCCATTCTTTTGCCTTAGAAGATTTTATATTTATTTTTCTGAAAAAAACTTTCTCTGTATAGAATTAAAAAGCCCAATTGACAATGTTCTAGTAAGTGGCACTATGACCTGTGATATTTTATGTGCACACCATTTTGTTTTATCTGATCTGGTGCCAGTGCTCTGGGAGTTAGTGTAATAATAGTGTAACTATGAACATCCTGGTTAGGAATTAGGTATCATTTGTAGCTTTTCCATTGATTGGTTGTATGATCTTGTGCAAATTAGTTCACTTTCTAAGCTTCAGTTTCCTACTCTGTAAAATAGAATAATGATAATTGATGTATAGAATTATTATACGAAGTAAAGGACATAAAATGAAAACTCTTAGCAGAGTCCCTTGTGTGTAGTAGGTGCTTCATAAATGTTAGTTCCCTTATCATCAATATTTTGGTAACAATTTAAAAGAAGTTTAATTTATGAGACTATTAAAATGATGTTCCTAACATTATTCCTAGAGCTTTGTGTTTCAAATGTGAAGTTTCAACATTTTCATCAATATCTTTGCTGCTAGAAATATCAAATCTTTAATGAAATAGTCTGGTCCTTTATAGGTAACACCCAGCAATTTAAGACTTTAAGTGTCTGTATTATAAACACTTTAAAAATGTTTACATTATCCTGTTTATTTTTTTTATTGAGGATATTTTAGAAATCACACTTTTTTTGCATTAAAATACAAATTCATGGGGCCAGCCCCGTGGCCGAGTGGTTAAGTTTGCGTGCTCTGCTTTTTGGTGGCCCAGGGTTTCACCGGTTTGAATCCTGGGCGTGGACATGGCACTGCTCATCAAGCTATGCTGAGGCAGCGTCCCACGTGCCATAACTAGAAGGACCCACAACTAAAAAGACACAACTTTCTACTGGGGGGCTTTGGGAGAAAAAGGAAAAATAAAATCTTTGGGGAAAAAAAAAACAAATTCAGTTTCAGAGGAGAGAATTTGATCCTTTTGCTGTTGGATTGTTAAGAGCCTTATCAGAGTTAAGCAAATATTTGATATATTGGTACATTTAGTACTGCTAAAGCATGTAATTTATTTGAATCCTTTTTTGGAGATATTTAAAGGCCACAAATTATAAGCATACATCCTAATGTACTTATTTGCATTAGTAATTACCGTAGACATTTTATTTTTAACTTAAATTTTTTTGTACTATATAATTTCCACTGAAACTGTCTTAATTTACTTTAATTGCTTTTATGAAAACTTTATTAGATTTCTTTATGTGGCTACAGATGGAACTCATGAAAAAAATTAAACTTTTTGAGTGTGTTAAATGTTTCTCTAATTAATATTGGCACATACTTCTTTGAAGTACAATAAGTGATGATACTAATACCCATTTAACTGTTTGGAAAAAGCTGAAGATAGTTCGTTAGTATAAATTTTTAAGATTATAATCTGAAAATTGAGAAGTCTCAGTGCTTTCTATGTACAGTGGGATAAACTTTTCATCTTAAATTCTGATCTCTACTTGTTTTCAAGTAAGGAATTCTAATTATAGTCCAATTCAAATTTGTTTTTTAATATCTTCACTAAAGGATTTCCTGAGCATTTCTGATTAAATGATTATGATTTCTTATGCTGATACTATAGAGCTGAAGCTTTTGGACATTAGCAATAATCCATTGCTTCTATGAAAGGTGCCTTGGTAGACTTTTCAGTTATGAAGCACTATGCAAAGGAACTTCAGATATGTTATGTATATTAAATACATATAATAATTACTGACACTTTTAATATCTTTGTATTTATTCTTCCAAAACTTTTTTCTAGGCATGTTCACCAACACGTCTGTATCTAATTTTTAAGATGAAAAAGGATCATACTGTGTTTAATTTGCTTCTTAAATATATTATCAACATATGAATATGTAAATGAACATAGGTTTGCACAATCATTTTTAAAGATTTTATTTTTCCTTTTTCTCCTCGAAGCCCCCCGGTACACAGTTGTATATTTTTAGTTGTGGGTCCTTCTAGTTGTGGCATGTGGGATGCCGCCTCAGCGTGGCTTGATGAGCGGTGCTGTGTCCACGCCCAGGATCTGAACTGGCAAGCCCTGGGCCGCTGAAGCAGAGTGACCACGGGACCGGCCCCTGCACAATCATTTTTAGAGTCCACCTAATTCTCTTTTATTGATAACTCATGGTTTATTAAAGTAACTCTATTAAGGAGCATTTAAATTATTATTAATTTCAAAATTATAGAAAACAAAGGGAAAAATATCTTCTTTAGTAATTTCTTTAGCATACATCTTTAATCATTTTCATGGGTATGTTCCTAGAGCTTGAATTATTGGATCAAGATGTTTATATGTTTTTAAGTCTTTGGATGCTTACACCCAAATTTCCCTGTAGAAATTTTGTGCCAATTGACAGTCCTACTAGCACTATGAGAATCTTTATTTTACTAGACTTTTAATTTATGTTATGTTTTTTAATTTTTTATTTCTTAAATTGCTAGTGAATCTGAACTTTTAAAATGACCTCACTGGCAATTTTTATTTCTTATTTTGTGAATTGCTTATTGATGTCCTCTGCTCATTCCTTCAACAATAAATAGACTTTTTTTATTTCTGTCAAAAAATCATTCTAAAAATGTATTGGATTTTTACCTAACCATTTCTGATGCTCATCTCAGAAACTATTTTTGAGTGATGCCCTCTTCCGGTATACTTACTTTCTCACCTGTTGGACATGTCACACATAATTTCTCTCCCTCTCTTTTTCTCAGTCAATGCATCTCCCTCTTCATTCCAGTTTTCACCTGAACGTAATCAGTACTTCATTCTTTTCACTCTTTTCTACTTAGTGGGCAAAGTAAACAAGTTGAAGGTGGAGATAAGGCAGGAATAAATTTTTTCTTAGAATTCTAAGCATCTAGAACAATGCTTGACATGAATAGTGGTACTTCATAAATATTGTTAAATAAGTGAAAGAATGAGCCTATTAAAGTATGATCATTGCTATTTTTTCTCTTCTTTTTAGTTCTTTGCCACATGGATAACCCTAGACTAAATTTAGTTTAAAGAAGTGTGTTTTTCAGTTCTTAAGATGATGAATATACCTAAACTAATAACTATCTTAGATTGATTTTTCCCTCTTTTAAAGTTAAATAAAATTTATTTTTAGTCTAAGAATTACTAAAAGATATTAGAATTCTGAAGGGCACCCTACCATCTATCACTTAACCCAATATTTAAAAAGTAGTATTTTACATAAATATATATGGATGTATGTACACACACACACACACACCCCCCACACCATTCACTGACAAATGTCTAGAATTTACATCGTGCTTTGTATTAAACAGGTGGTTCATATAAAAATGGTAACACCTAGAGGTATAATAGAAAAAAGCTGTCAAGGACCTCGTATGTCAACAGGCCCTGATATCCATCACTTCATCATGGGATCTGAAGGTAACTATTACTACAAATTTATTATGAAAACATACAGGTTAGTGACTCAGCTTTGTGAAAATCTGTGATATTGTGATATCAGATCTTTGAAAGAAAGACATGTTTTATATATTTAAAGAATGGTGATTTTTAAAAAAGTTTTATTACTTTAATTTAGTACTTCATAAAGTTTTTATATTGAGAACATCTTATTAAACTTCCTCTTACATTTTGCTTTTTTATAGTTTTAAAAACAGCTTAGTCTTTTTGGTTTTATTTTTTTCTTTTAGAGTTTTTAATCAGTAATTTTAGGAAGAGAAGTTATTATGGTTTAAAATGGTTTGCTTTAACATTATATTATAGTATTCTTTAATCTTGTCTGGATAATCAGGAGGAAAGGACTGATGGAGTATTGTTTTATTGTCTTTCTATAATTATATATTTTGTTGTTGCTATTTGATGTTTTGAATAAGTGGAATTTAAAATTCTGTTGATTCACATATCTTTTAAAACTTACCTTGGTCTTTTATTTTTTCATTAATTAAGTAGTATCCTTTGCTTGGATACTTAATGCTGGGTAGATTAGAATGTAGTTCTTCATTTTATCCAAAACATTTAATTCCTGTACCAATCAGAAAAAAACTAATCTTCTTTCTGTTTGTGAACTAATTATTATGTAGGCACTGTGAAATGTATGGATAAGGTGAACATGGGCTTATTTTTCAGGTAGAATAGTAGAGAGGGGTACCCCTTAAATTTAGAGAAATAAGATAAAACAAGTGGTTTTAAATTAGCAGAGGAACTCATTACTCACTTGAGAAGGTGGTGTACGCTGAAAAAAGAGAGAGATTTTGGAAACATTTAGCTGTGTTCGTGGATAACATTTAGTTATATTCATTGATACAGCAATTATCATAAACTAGGATGTTAGGGCATAAATTCTAACCTTTGACAGTAACATCAAGGAGGGAAGAAAGTAACAAACTATGTCTCTTAGTGACATGGCTAGAAGTCAACTACTGAGTTGATGACCAGCGAGATAGCTTAGCTCTTTTTCATGATGATCAATGACAGACTTTTGTCAAGATATCTCACCAGTTTACTCTCTCATCAGTATACTCTTCTGTGGAACCACAGAACTATATTTTTAATAAGAAAAATATATGGTAAATTCCTTTAAATAATATAGTTCTCTAATAGTATTATGAAACTTTTTGTACTAATGCGTCATCTAAAAGTTAACTAAAAGAATATTCCTTTTTGCCATCAAATGTCAAATGAATAACAAATAGGTATTAAAATTGATAATTATACTATTGTTGTATACATAGTTGGAGTCAGCTCTATAAATATAAATTATCTTTTGAAGTAACCACATTAAGCATTTTTTTCCTCCCATCTATTAACATTTAAAAAATTCTAGTTGCTAGGTACTATGCTGGCACACTCAAGGACACAGGTAATAATAGACAATTATAATACAGTATGGTAAATTCTGTGATAGAAATAAACACAGGAAAAATATGGACAAGGGGCACGTTGGTGGGTGCTTAAGAAGACTTCCCCAGAGACACTGTGCCTAAAGTGGCCCCTGAAGGTTGGTAAGGAGAAAATAGTTCCAGACAGAGTTGAGAGAATAAGGTGGGGAGGGAGTTGCCCTGCAGAGAGAACTGCATGTGGGCATGCTCAGAAGTGAGAAAGAACCGTGTGTGCTTCGTGAAGCTGCCAGTCTTTCAGTACAACTAGAACAGAAGATTTACGTGTAGGGTGGAGTGGGCAGCAGATCCAGGGGCAGAGTGGTAAGGGTCACAGGGTGGCTGGAGGGATAATTTGGTCTTTTATGCCTTTTAAAATAGTTTGAACTTTATCTGAAAGACTGGACTACTTTCCTCAGTAGTAAATTATTGTATAAATTTAAGGAAGGCAAACTCATTATAGTAAAGTAAGCAAAGAAATATGATTTATGAGAAACATATTCTAGGGTAAATTAATTACTGTATTTAAATGAGATTTTATTGTAAATATGCATGTAGAATGCCATACTGATTTAAGAGCATGAACCATGAAATCTGTCAGATCTGGATTTCAGTCTTGGTTCCACCACTTATATTTCTGTGACTTTCAGTAAATTAGGTGTTTCTCTATGTCCAATGTCCTCAGCTATAAAATGGGGATAATATAAATTATCCATCTTCGTAAGTTTTTTGTGAGGATTAAATGAGATTGTGCTGAGCAGTCTATAAGCATGTAGTAAGTAATCAACAAATGTTAAATGTGTTACTCTTGTTGTGGCTGTTTATTATTTTGGCATCAATGATCTTTACAAGTGTATTTATGGTCCCTAATCCCCATTTCTGTATTGTATGTATATAGAGTCGTCTGAATATAGGTCAGGAGACAACATTTACTGAGAAAGTAAATTTATGTGAAATCATGTTTTTTTGTAAAATGTATTTTTATCTGCTATTTTGAACTATCTAAATAATAACCTCATGCCTTAAATGTGAATTATAAACTTTTCCTCTAGCTTTAAAAATATTTTCTTTTGCGATAGTTAAATTTGAAAGTATTACCATTAAAAAATCTATTTTCCACTACCCTACTATGTTCCATGTGTGACTAACCATGTTAAGTTTAATGCTTTTGTCTTGTTATGAAGTTTTCATAATGATTTTTTTCTGCAATCAGCTTCCTCTCATTTTAGATGCTATAACATGATCAATGTAATGAAAATTTCAATAAATAGTCAAAGCATTTGAAATGCTTTGCATTCTTTTTCTGTGTGTGGAATTTACTATGTAGTAGCTTATAATGATTTCCTCATTTATTTGAAAAACAGTTAAAAGTACATTTTTTTTAACCCATGACCCACACTTGTTTTAGCCATCACTCTAGAAAGAAATACATGGAATGCTTATTATCAGTCCTCTTGTGTAGTTTTATTAGTCATTTTTTGGTTATATAAATCTTACTCTTTGGTGGATTCCTCAGGAAAGGCAGGTTTGTATATCCCATGAGTTCTGGAATGTTCTAAACTGTTTTTCTATAGCCTTGATACTTGTAGGACAGCTTGAGTGGCTATAATATCTTTGGGTCACTCTTTCTTTCCTGTTTCTTGCAAATGCTGCTCTGCTGTTGCTTTGGTTTTCTATGTTGTTCTAAAGAAATCTGATGCCAGTTCTCTTGCCTTTGTAGCTTGTTTTCTCTTTTTGCCTGCAGGCCCTGGGGATTTTTTTTTTTTTCTTTCTTTCTTTCTTTTTTGAGGAAGATTAGCCCTGAGCTAACTACTGCCAGTCCTCCTCTTTTTGCTGAGGAAGCCTGGCCGAGTTAACATCCGTGCCCATCTTCCTCTACTTTACATGTGGGATGCCTACCACAGCATGGCGTGCCAAGCAGTGCCATGTCTGTACCTGGGATCCGAACCTGTGAACCCCAGGCCGCACAGAAGTGGAACTTAATCGCTGCGCCACCGGGCTGGCTCCGGTATTTTTTTCTTTATTGTTCAAGTTTACTACTTTTACTACTCAGACTTGATTGTCCTGGGTCACTTTGCTCTGGTACCCAGTGGACCCTTTCTGTCTATATATTCAGATCTTTTAGTTCTGGAAAGTTTTTTTAGATTGTAGTGTTAAATATTAGGGTTTTTTAAATTAATTGTTTTAATTTTTCTTCTTCAGGGACACCAATTATACATAGGTCTGGCTCCCTTTGCTTGTTCTCCATCTTAACCACTATTTCTGTGATCTTTTTTTCTCAACTTCTGTCTTTATTTCATTTTCATTCTCTTGATTATTTTCCTGCTTTTCTTCACTGGCTTTTATTAAGCTTTCATTTGAATCTATTCTCTCTCTCTCTTTTTTTTTTTTTTGCTGAGGAAGATTTGCCCAAGCTAACATCTGTTGCCAACCTTCCTCTTTTTGCTTGAGGAAGATGTACACTGCGCTAACATCTGTGCCAATCTTCCTCTATTGTGTATGTGGGTCACCACCACAGCATGGCTGCCAATGAGTGCTGTAGGTTGGGCCTGAGAACTGAACGCAGGCTGTTGAAGCAGAGTGCACCACACTTAACCGCTAGGCCACAGGGCTGGCCCCCTTGATTCTGTTCTCTATTCTCCTTTGGCTACCTTATAACTTAGCCTTCATGTTTTTTTTTTTTAAAGATTGTATTTTTTTCCTTTTTCTCCCCAAACCCCCCCGGTACATAGTTATATAGTCTTCATTGTGGGTCCTTCTAGGTGTGGCATGTGGGATGCCACCTCAGCATGGTCTGATGAGCAGTGCCATGTCCGCGCCCAGGATTCGAACCAACGAAACACTGGGCCGCCTGCAGCGGAGCATGCAAACTTAACCACTCGGCCACGGGGCCAGCCCCTAGCCTTCATTTTTTAATGTGTTTTGTTGTTCTAGTTCTTGTCTGAGTTTGATCATCTCTTATTTCATTTGTTCTTGTTCTTTGTCCATTTATGTTTTTAGTGTTTGTATTTCTGATTCAAATATTTTTTTATAACCCAAGATGTTTGTTTGGCAGTATTTAATTCAGTTTGAAATGTTGTGTTACACTTTTCTTCAAGATCATGGTTGGTTTTGTGGGGGAGACTTTTCATCAGAAGAAAAGTTTTATTTACATTTTCTGACTTTTTGCAGTAGTTTTTATGGACTTGGTCTGCATTTTTCTGTTCCTATTTATTACTTGGAAAGAGTTCCTAGTTTGAGAGTGTTCTTTTCTGTCACTTCTACACTCTTTTGTGCTATTTGTTTTATGGGTGGTGGTGTCTTTGGTGGGAGAAGACATGGCATGTCTTGTTTCTCTTTCATTTCTATAGGATCTTTAATTTTCCTCTTCTTTTATTCTTTCCCTTCTCTGCCTTGTCTACAAGGAGTACCACATCTCTCTAAATATGATGTTCCCTTGAAGATACTCCCCTTGCTTCTCCAAGGCTGTCAGTTTTGGTTCCTCCCATCTGAAACCCCTCCTCGTACCCAGGGCTGTGGATTACCAGACCCTGTACAGAATTTTGG